ACCTAGAAGTGCTATTGCTGGGTCAAAGGGTATGCACATTTTTATAGCCCTTTGGGCATCGAAGAACGAGTTTTTTAAATGTCATAAGTACAAATAGAGAAGCTTCCAGAGGGTGGAGCATAGCAAGCCACCCTCAGAATCAGGACCTGGGTCCAAATCTCTGACCCTTCCTAGCTGTGTATCCTGGGCAAGTCACTGACCCTCTCAGGCCCTAGGCAGCTCTCTGAGACCAGAAATGGTACACTATGTTGGGAGGAGTTTCCCTATGTAGATGAGACCACAGCGCAGGTCCAAGCCCCATCCGCCACCCAAAATACACACACAAATAAGTCTGTATTACATCTCCTTGGAGGACAACGGCACATCCCCCAGGCAAAGAAAAGAGATAGGAAGATGAAAACTCTTATTTCAAAGCAAAATCATAATATCTGCTTGGAATTATTTGTATTCAGAATGCATTTTTACAGGAGAAATTACAGTAGATTTATAAAAAGAAAACTCAGTTGATTTTTTTGTCTCCAGTTAATGCATCAGTTGACACACCTGGTCCTTCTGGTGTTTCTACAGTTTGCCTTGTACCCACTGGCCAAGCACAGAAGGTCATGGGGGCTGGCAGTGATCAGGCCTGGGGAACAAGGGTTATACAAGGCTTTGGGGCGGGGCGGGCAGCCAGGACATGGATAGGAGAAGATGTCTTTATGCCAGGGATCCCTGCTCCTTCCTCCTTCAGGAGGGCAAGGGGTCCTGAGCTAGCACAGGCCTTCACCCTGGCCTTTAACCTTACAGAGAAAGCCCAGACAAATGAACAGCGTTACAGCAAGCTAAAGGAGAAGTACACAGAGCTAGTTCAGAACCATGCCGACCTGCTGCGGAAGGTAGGTTATCCAGCCCTACTCTGGCCTCGCAGGCCTGGCTCAGAAGGCCCCAGGGGCTTCCAGCGGGGCAGTGACCAGTGACGCTTCCTTCCTGCCTCTGGGATTCGAGACAACATGGCAAAAAACAGCAGCGGTGGGACACCATATTCCGTGGCAACAGGCTTCAAGTTATAGGCAGTGTGGTACAATGGAAAGTGCACCCGGGAGTCAGAAGAACTGGGTTCAAATCCCTTGATCTTGATCAAGTCACTGACCTTCCCTGGGCCTCCGTTTCCACATCTGTAAAATGCTGAAGCCTGGAATGGGCCAGACCATGGTCATGCGGCCTTCTCCTGATTCCCACAAAAAGAGCAGGAGCAGATTGGGGCGACGATCTCCCTCCCTCTGCACCTAGACCCCTCAGGGGCCTGGCCTTCTAGCTCCCTCTCCTTCTCAGGGCTTAATTACTGTCTGAGATGCCAAGCAAGGACTGTTGAATGAGTTTCCATTTGTTTTCTTGATAATAGTTAGCTGAGTCTTTTAGGAACACGGTGTTTTCTGGGGGAGCCCTCCTCCCCGAGGTATTGGGTGAACCCTGTGCCTGATTTCCTGCCTCTGGCCCTTTAACCAGGCTCTTTCCCATGTTTTCATCGGGAGAGGGGGGAAGGGATGGAGAAGGTCCTGAAGGGTCAGCGAGCTATGGGGTTTCCTTCTCTCCACAGAATGCCGAAGTGGCCAAACAGGTCACTGTGATGAGACAGGCGCAGGCTGACTTGCAGCGAGAGAAGAAGGAGCTGGAGGATACTTTCCATCATGCGAACGAGCAGGCCCAGCGCAAGGTGAGCTCCAAGGGCAGGGGCGTCCAAGGAACAGGGACAGAATCTTTCTGGGGCCTCCAAGGGTCCAAGGTCAGCTGCCCGCTGGCCATCTCCTCCTGACTGTCCTGCAGGAGGCTTGAACTGAGTGTGTGCAAAACAGAGCTCATTCCATCTCTGCCTCTGCGCCCCCCTCCATCCATCCTCTGGACCACGAAGTTGAAATATAGACTCCTTAGGCCGGCTTCTCCCGGCCTTCCCAGTGTTATCTCCCACCACTTCCCCATGTTTGCGTCTTTGCTGCAATCAAACCAGCCAGGGAGTGAACTCCCATCTCCCACCTCTTGGCTCTTGTACTCAGAGTCCCTTGTCTGCGCTGTTCTCCTACGTCATTCAATCGGCAAACATTTATTAAGCACCTACGGTGTGCCAGGCAAAGGAGAAATTCTTTCTCCTAAGGAGCTTCTACTCCAACAGCAGAGACAAGTAGATATAGAAACATAGAGAGGTTAAGTGTCAAAACAATAAATGTAATAAGTGCAAGTAGTTGGAAAGGCAGGCACCAACAGTAGGGAGGATGGAAAAGGGCGTGGAAGGTGTGCTGTGTGTGAGGCACCCAGAGGAGGCCAGGTTGGCCAAATGACGCATACTGAGAAGACTGGCTAGAGTCAGGTGGCAAAGGGTTTTAAAAGTCATTTTCCCCTGGAGGCAATAAAGACCCATTGGAGTGGAACAGAGTAGAGGCGTGACACGGTCAGGGCTGGGCTGAGGAAAATCTTTCTGGCAGCTGTGGGGAGGAAAACTTGGAGTGGAGAGAGAACGAGGTACGGGGACCAGTGAGGAGGCTGCTGCAATAGTCTAGGCTAGAGATGATGAGGGCCTGGACCATGATGGTGCCGTGTGATTAGGGAGGAGCTGGAGGCAGGAGACGTGGTGGCAGGATCTGGCAGCGGATGAGTGAGATAAAGAGTGGAGGGTGACACCAAGATCAGGAACCTGAGAGACTGGTGGTGCCTTCAACCGAAATAGGAAACTTGGGGAAAGGGGCGGGTTTGGGGGGGAAAGAGTGAATTCTGCATGGACATGTTGAGTTTGTCTGACGGGCGTTGGTGAGGAGGCCCCAAAGTTCGGGGGAGAACTCGAGGCTGGGCAGATGGACCTGAGTCATCAAAGCCCAGAACAGAGCCGTGGGGCCTTCCCAAAACTAGGGCACAGGACAGTAGGATGAGCCAGCAGAGCCGTCAGAGGGGCAGGAGGAAAGGCTGGAGAGAAGAGCAGGATGACCCAAGCCGTCTCTTGTCACTGTGCCTTCGCCTCAGCCGTCCCTCATGCCTGGAACATCCTCTCTCCTCACCTCGGTGTCCTTTAAGACTCAACTCACATTCTGCCCTTCCCAGTTATCCTGTCCTCCTCTCCCGTCCCAGCTAGGGCCTTCCCCCTGAGACTGCCATCCATCTATCCTGTATAGATCTTGCTGGTGCCTGGTTCATTTCATGCTGTGAACGAGCGGAAAGAACGTGGAAGTGACAGGCATAAACAACTTTTTTCTAGGAGTCTGGCTGGGAAGGGGATGAGAGATTTTGGATGATAGGTTGAAGGTTTTTATACGGGTGAAGAGACTTGGGCATGTTTGAAGACGGTATGGAAAGAGCCGATAGAGAAGGGGTGGGGATGACTGAAGGGACCTTGTGCTGGAGAAGGAGGGAGGGGACCAGGGGCACATGCAGAGGGGTTGGCCTTGGCAAGGAGAAAGGCCACCACATTACCAGAGCCTGGGAAGGTAAATAATGTGAAAAGTACTGAAATGAAGACTTAAAAGGAGAAGAGGGAGCTTATGGCAGATGGCTTCCGGTTTCTCAGCAAAGTAAGAGGTGGGGAGAGGAGGAGGTGGGGAGGCTGAGGAGAGAAGAGAAGGTTTGGAATGAGGTTTGTGGGGATCTGGAGAAGGAATCCATTAGGGAAGAAGAAAAGGAGACCATGGTGCAGTGAAAACCAATTCTGGTTGGACAACTTGAAGTGATGGTGTACCCTCCAGAGCTCCAGGAAGCAGCAAGTGAGCAGAGTGGGAGAAGGCAAGGGGGACGTGGTTCAAGGTGAGGGTTTGGCAAAGGATGGGGGCGGCAGGAAATGGAGGTAAGGGTTCAAGAGCTGGTGCCGGCGTGGAGTTGAGCTGCTTAACTGAGCTGTCAGTATGAGGAAGGGAGGAAAAGTTCAGTCAGAACAGAGGAGATTGTCTGAGAAAGTCCCGAGGGATTCGGGGAGCAGGAGGGAAGACGCTTTTGGTGAATGAAGTAGCGTGCTTGCGGTGTGATTCAGAGATGGCTCTTCCTATATCTGCCTGAATTGGGGTGAAGGCCCTGGGTCTCAAGGAGACTGAGGCGTTGGAGGCCCCACCACGGCTACTGAAGTCCCCGAATAATGACACTAATAACAGTTGGCAGTTGTTTGGCACTTTGAGGTTTGGCTATGGAGCCCCTGAAGCAAAGGGAGTCTAGGAATGGCGGTGGGGAGCCATGAGAAAACCCCCTCCCCCTCGAGGGCCAGTGCGCTGTAGGGTGTGAGTGAAAGGAAGCCAGGTCTCGGGAA